ACCAATGTTGAGTTTCTGAACCTCCCGGAACCAAAGGAATATACAGGTCACTGTTTCAGCAGGTCTTCTGCTTCTTTGCTAGCAGAGTCAAAAGCAAATATAATGGATATCAAGAAGCACATAGTATGGAAGTCTACAACAGTAGCTGAGCGTTACATCGATCAATCCATTTCTCATAAAAAGGCTATGGCTGAGAGAATAATCCCAATAGCTAGCTCCAGCGTTACAGCATCGTCCTCTTCACTTCGAGAATTAAATGTTAATGCCCATGAAATTTGTTTGAAGGTGGTTGACAATGTTTCGTGGTGTATTTCATCAGTTCGGACTTCCATTGTCTAACATAATATGAATTGATTTGAAAACCCTGAAAAAATCAAAAAGAATAACCGAAAATACCAATTTTATTAAAAAAAAACAGAAATTACAAAGAAATAACATACAACAACAACCAAACAATTAAAAATTGAAATATTAATAAAAGCTGAAAAAATTGAACAAAATAAAAATTAAAAGATTTCAAACCAAGTTATGTCGCAACGTTTCGATTGTTAGTATCCACAATCGTCTTCGAGTGATAACTAGACTTATTCATTCTTCCGAGATCTGATTATTTATAGGTCATTCGAGTGCTTTCACTTATCCCCTCTTTCCTCTTTCCGCTTCATTGGTTTTGGAGATGACCGTTTGGCGGGAGTTGGTCGTTTTTTGCTTGATTAGATATTTCTATATGTTACGTATCTCTACGCTAGCTTGACTAAATGCGTTGTTGGACAACATATACGCGGCTTCTTTGAATTTTCTCCTAAACCAGTATTCCTCTTTGTGGATGATTTCAGCTTGAGCCCACTTGATGTTGTGTTGTATCTTCTTCATTCAAACGGAATTCCTTACCGGTGCGCATTTTTTTGAATCTGGTGAATGCGGTGGATGTGGGACCAATTCGAAGTTCAATTTATGTAGTTTCGCCAATGTTTTGGCTAAACACTGGTAAGAATTATCCAAACGTTCTTGTTCTTGGTCGACAGTGGGCTCAGGCGGCACTCCATTATCTTTCTCATAGTCAAATGCTCATGCAATAAAAATCCAACATGTTTTTTTGATTTCTCTACAATGTCAGGTAACACACACGAAACTTCATTTTTCGATCATTCGAAACGGTTTTGTGGATTTTTTATGTTTTCTGGTCTTACTGCCTCATTCGGACGTTCACTACGTTGTGCATCATCAGTGTCTATGCGACCAATTTCGAAACAAATACTTCTGTATGAACACTGAATTATACAGATGAGACTTTTCTCTACTCGTTTGTATTTCAAACATTCGTTGTGGAATGAAAATCAGATATCATTCATATGAGTTCTACTTTGAATGAATGGTAATAAATTGCACTTACATGGAACACTGTCACCCTCACTGGTATACACCGATGTTTCGCCTTAAGACACTTGCCCTAAGGCTCTTCAGTACCGAATTGAATAACATTATAGAAAATACACACACTTCATTCATGAATTACGATTCTTACTCATCCCCCTTTTTTGTATCAAGATGGAGTAGTAGAAAGCCAAAAACTTTCTTTCCCAAAAATTACAAGGCTCTTCAACATCGCAAGGTGTTAGTATCAGCAGTTGGTCTAATTGTACTTCTAAAATTAATGTCCATAAATAATAGTAATGTAATTAATGTATATAACACATTTGTAACAGAATTTAATTGTATCTATATCTCGAAAAAAATCGTATTGAAAATAGTTTCAACAGTAGTTTTAAAAATATTTTTAACACGCTACTTTGTAAACATCATCTTTTAATACTCTTGACAACCATTCAAAATGTCACTTTTAATGACACTTGTACGAAAATACTATTCTATATTGTAAGGGGTATTTTTGGGGGAGTTTAATTTTTGGGAAAGGTTTTGGCTTTCTACTTATCACGTGGCATGAGGATATTTAACTCATCCATGACATGAAATCGTAATTTTATGAATGAACTGAGCGCTTCATCTTATAATGTTATCCAGATTGGTGGTAAAGAGACAATAAGACAAGTGTTTTATTCCGAAACATCGATGTTCGCCATTGAGGATAATAGTTACGTGTAACTATTAAAAAAACGTGTTCAACAACAGAACAAAATTACGGTTTCTCGACGCGCGTTTTGATAACCGAGCAAGCATCCACAGGAGATCATTATAACTAAATTGATCCATAAACTCTGTTTATATGGTGTTGATGGGAAAATATTGCAGTGGCTCAAGAGCTATCTTACGGAAAGAACGCAAATTATTAGAGTTAATCATTACTTTTCTTATACCATCGCAGTTACATCGGGTGTTCCACCTTTTTATCAATAATCTAATCAGCTGTTTCCATGAAAGCGGAGCTTTGCTATTTGCCGACGATTTAAAATGTTTTAAAATAATTAAAAGTGAAATTGATACATTGTGTCTACAAAACGATATAGATTGATGAAAAGAGAAATGAAAATTTCTATGTTTTTACCACTTTTATAAAGGTGGCACATTCTGCCATTGAAATCAAAGATCTAAGTATGATCCTAGACTCCACACTCAGCTATAAATCACACATTTCGGATGTAACTTAAAAATCTATGAAGGTGCTTGGCATTAAAAGAAAACCACTCGTGATTTTACCAACTGCTATTAAATCTCTTTAATTTTCCCTGGTTAGATCTCATCTCAATTATTGTTCCACAGTTTGGCCCCCTCATTACGTCACACAAAAAGTGAAACTCGAGGCTGTACAGCACAATTTTCTGCGATATATTGCCTTCAAGATGCGTGTATACTATGATTATACTGCAAAGAATGATATTGCGTACTTGACAGACCTGTATAAATTATCTATTGATGTCAATCTCCAACTTCAAGGTGACGACTTGAATTCGATTAAAACAATAAATATCATTGCTGCTTTTGTAGCCAAATTTCTCTTTTACAAGAATAATATCGGCAGGCGTGAGTTTCGCAACGACGACTTGCTTGTTTACTGCCAACATTTGGAGAACCTCCGCATTGATTTTGCAGAACGATTCCAGGACATTTTAAAATTGGAAATACCGGACTGGGTGTTGGATCCTTTTTCAAATGTCAACACAGCAGGATCACCCCAGCTGGAAGAAGAACTCATAGGACTGATAACGAACGAGGAAATAAAAATAAAATTTAAAAATGGATACCAAGAATTTTGGCTACAAAACCCAATCACGCAATTGTACCCTGGATTGTGGTCCATCGTTCAACGATTTTTGGTAGCATTCCCATCATAGTATTTGTGTGAACGTTGATTGAGTGGTGTGGCAACGTTGCTAACTAAAAAGAGAAATCGGTTGCAGTATACCGAACGCGGTGACTTACGACTGTTTTTGAGTAAATTCGAGCCTGATATAACAAACTTGTTAAAAATCATCAAATTCATCTTTCACATTAGATTAGTTTTGAAATTCAAATTAAAATGTTTGTTTTAATAACATGAATAAAAGTTTTCTTAATATTACAAAATGGTGTTTCACATTACGCTCATCAGAAAGTCTTATTTTCACATGACACACATAATTGAATTATTAAAATAATGACTGCGATTGTGATTCTCAAGATTTAGTAAAGTACAAAAATTTGGGGGGCGCTGGAAAGTAATTAATTGTCGAAGTGAGCGGTAGACAAAATAAATTTGAAAACCTCTGTTTTAGATCGATAAAACAGGTAAAGAAATGTGAGATGTGAAATTTTCAGAAACTTCCTGAATTGCGTTTTCAAGAAACGTCTAACCTACCACCGACCGTGAGTCACGCTGTATACGAAGTCAATTCGAATGGCATAAACACTAAATAGTTACAGCTTCTTTGTATTGCATGTGCGGCGTGGTATAATTTTTATTCAAAATCCATTATTTTTATGTGAGGTTCTATATATGGTAATAATTAGTAAATTTATCAGACCCGGTATAGTTCAAGTAAACGATATAGTGCCCTCTACCTTCCAGCAGTTCCCCTTTAATAAAATAGTTAATCGGAACTATTGCTTTACTTCCTCCGCGATCTTTTGTTTTCAGGTATGTTAGGCGTACACATTCTCCAACCATCAGTCCAAATAGAAAATTTGCCGTTGTTCTTGTCTATATTTAGTTATTTGTTCTAAGTATTTGTTACGCAATTCCACTATTCTTCTGCTTTCCATACATATTTGACTTTTGTTTATAATTTTAAATCTAAATCCTTGTTTCTTTATCCAATTCTGAAGAGTTTTGTCACCCCAGCTCACGTTATGGCCGGAAGTATTCACTTTTTTCCTTGTAACAGTCGCATATTGTTTTTTAATGATTTTATTAGATGAACATCTATAGGTTTTGGTAATCCCATATCACATCGCGTCTTGCGTTCATAAGGTTTGTTTTTGACTATTTCAAGATGTTTCTTGTAATAGTTTGTTTCCCTCGAAACCAAACTTGAGATGTAGATTCTTATATACATTGAAACATACTCTCTGTGTTTCAATATTCAAATGCATCCGAATCTTATTCACTGGTATCTCTTTTTCGCATTGTTCACCATCGCTATTGGAATCACTACACAGGAAAAAGTCTGCGTTGTTATCACACTCGTTATTATTATTAGTACTTGTCCAAGGATGCCACATTTTAAACAAATAACAAAAATAACTCAAATCGCGATCAGTTCGTGAACTGAACATAGACGACATCCCAAAATTCTATTCGTCACTCGGTTAGTAGAAATTATCCAATACGAACCGCCAATTCAGTCCACGTGGACCAATGCGTAGCGGCATTATTCCTTTGTATTGGTTTTTTTGGCCTTTGAGTTCGCCGAAGCTTTGAGAATTACTATATCGGTTACTTCGACTACACATCCGTCTCTTATTTAGACACGTTAATCGAGCTTGATGGGATGAATGATTGCCTCAGTCATAGTGATCAAACCAATGCATACATTTTACCAAACTACTACAACTTTCATTTTCAGCTCATTTCCCTCCTGCCGCTCTGATGTTCGTTTTGGGATATACTGGTTGTGATCCTGCGGCTCCTGCTGCTTTGTATACCGCTGCATTGGCAATGACTGGAGCTACACCCGCTGGTGCCTTTGCTAGTGCAGCAGATATCGCCCCCAATTTTGCAGGTAAGTGTAGAATGCATAGAGCGTTCCATCGAAAAATATACCCCCCTCTGAGTCAGAAATAATCGAAAATTTCAAAGAACGCGTCAATTTTCATTTCTAGGGCAACTAATTCTGATATAGAAATCATACTCGAAACTTCACCCCCCTGCGGTCAGCAACAACCCCCCTATTTTTTTCAATGGCATGGGGGGTCGAATGATACATCATTTGAAATATCTTTTATCCCTCTATTACCTCTGGAATTTTTTTGAGAATTGAGAAATTGAATATTGAACGTTTTATTTAAAAAAAAACAGAAAATTCGCTATCGTTCTATTAATGAGAAAATCAACAACAAATAATATCAGTGGAAACAAAATCAACGGATAAATTGTTCAGAATAGTATTGACGAGAGGTAATACCTCAAAACGCGTGTCTGCAGATGATCTACTTGAATAATTTCAGCATGTTCCTGCTGCTGGATGAACGGAAAACATCTGTGACGCTAACCTCTGTGAGGAGATGATTCAAAATCCAGCATGTTATTAGCCGGCAGAAGTTTACCCAGACCCACTGTGTAGGTAGTTGGGAGAGATTGATATTTCGAAATATTTATTTTCTCATACGTATGATCTCAGTATCCCTTCTCACTTTTAATTTCTGTTAGAGTTTTGGTATAGTCTATCCATTCCCAATTGGAACGGCAATAAAAATAAGAGTACAGTCATAAACATTTCTTGCCTGTGGCCTCTAGTCGCCCAGTAGTTAGTGAACGTGCTATCAAATGTAGTTGAGGAATAAAGGCTCGGCTAGCTGGACTGGCTGAATACTAATTTTTTGTCTTATATTATTCTGAATGATCATTTTTCAATATTCAACATGATTTTCGAATTTGCAGGAACGGTATTCGGGCTCTGTCAAACTGTGGGAGCTGCAGGATTATTGGCAGCGAATTACGTTGTTGCTGAAGGACTCCACGGCTCGGTAAGAATATTTCCATAGCTCTCCAATAAAAATTGTACAATAACATTAACAAAACAATTAAATCCTAATTTATTTGCTTTAGTTACATAATGTAACAGGTTAAATAAAAGGTTACATAAAATGAAAATACAACGTTTTCCATTTAAACAAGATAGAAAATGTTATATGCATGGAATTGACCGGTACTTTATGAAAATCCATAAAGTATTTATTGTGGGATTTTCATTACACACTTCCACAAAAACGCAACACGTGTTCTGCTACACAATAGTTTCTTCTGACGTGTCTATACTAGTATAGTATACTATACAATGAACTGAAGGCAGATCCAATACTAGGAATGCCCGCAGTACAACTTTCAAAAAGATTTCAAAATCGTCATACCCAGTAGAGAGGACTGGTAAAACGGCCCACCAGTAAAAGCGGAAGAAACTTGGTTCACAGATGGCTCAAAGACCCAGGAAGGGCTGGGAGCCGGTATATATGGAGGCAGAGCAAAGACGAGAATCGCACTCAGCCTCGGACATAAATGAACTGTGATTGGTAGAATAAACTCCCAGAAATGAGGCAAGCGAAAGAGTTCATGAAGAAACCATCGCATAGATTCAAGGAAGACCTGCTAAACCACAACCTTAAGGTTGTAAGGGTAGTGGTGGGTGTACTAACGGGGCATTGCCAACTCAGGAAACATATGAGTTCTGACAGAAGAAACTCAATGCAGGTTCTGTCAAGAAGAAGAAGAAACCATACTGCATGTGCTCTGTGAGAGGCTGAGACACGCAAGATGCGGGGAATAGAAACCAGAGGCTGCCAGCTAAATGATGGGGTCAGTGTCAAGGCTATGGAGTCTCATCAAAGAGATGAAGCTAGATAATGAGCTCTAACAACCAAGGAGCATCACAGTAGATCAGGAAAGGTCGTAGTGAATAAGGCCATGGGCTAGCTCCCCGACAATCTAATAGTATACTATAGTAGTATATAGTCTACACTCTATACTCAGTCAAGTCTATGTGTCTATACTAGTATATACAGGGTGTAACTGAATAAGTGTAAAACATTTAAGAAGGTCATTCCTCATCGAAAAAAGATAGGATCTTTCATATAAAGAAACTTCATGGGAGCATCCCTTGTTAAGATACAGCCCCTTAAAGGGGGTACATAAAATTTGTATAACAACTGGATTTATTGTTATTTTGTAGTTAGTACCTGCATTAAATGATTAAAGGGTAATAAACAAAACTAATTTATTAATAACAAAACACACAACATGTAGAAATCATAACCTCTGAATTGCATATAATTACTATTTGTACATGAGCTTTTTGTTCAATATTTCAGTTTGCTGGATGGTGGCGTTTAGTATTTGGCGTTTCATCTGCAGTTCTTTTAGTCACTGCTACCGTTTTCATGGTGATGGGTAGTGGTTCTGTTCAAGACTGGAATATTCCTGTAGACGATGAATCCGAAAAAGCACCTGTGGAAGAACCATCTCGACTTGAATCTGTACTGGAGTGAACACATTGAAATGTGTTTGAAAATATATAAGAGAATATTGTGCTTCAATAAAAATCAAATTCAATTAATACATTCTCATTCAATGAATAAACTAAACCAATGAAAACACTAATAATGTTTGTTTGAAGGTGATTCACAATGTTTCATGATAAATTTCATTAGTTCGGACTTCCATTGTCTGATATTATATAAAATGATTTGAAATCCCCGAAAAAACTAAAAAAAAGAAAGAATTAAAAATGAATAGCTGAAAATAACAATTATATTAAACAAAAAAACCTGAAATGGAATAATAGTGAAATGAAATACAAGTAAAAATAGAACAATTGAAAAAAAAAATAAAAAGTTAGGGAGATTCCAAGCCAAGTTACTTCACGATGTTTCGATTGTTAGTATCCACAACCATCTTTGGGTGATGACTGGACTGATTCCTCCGAGAGATTACCATTTATGGGTCATTCAAGTACTTTCACTTTCTCTGCTTTCCTTTTTCCGCTTCACTAGTTTCGTGGGAGATGACCGTTTGACGGGAGTTGGTCATTTTTCGCTTGATGATGGGTTTCTATATGTTGAGTATCTCTTCACTACCTTGGCTGAATACGTTATTGGACAACATGTATGCGGCTTCCTTGAATTTTCTCCTGAACCAATGTTCCTCTCTGCGTGTGATGCCAGCTTAGGACCACTCGATGTTACGTTGATGGGTCCAAACATGCTCTGCTATTCCTGATTTGCTGGTTTCCCTTCGCTGTGTGTGTTTCTTGTGCTCGGCAATGCGAACATTCAATGGCCTCTTAGTTCCACCGATATAGGATTTTCCGCACTCACGGGGTATCCGGTAAATGCAATTCTTGGAATCGCAGTCCGCGTTTGGTGGCTGGTTTTCGTGAGGCTGCTACGGATAGTGTTTCCGAATCTAAAGCAGGTTCTGATGTACTTGGAACCAAAAATGATCTTCAAAGGAATGGCTACTCCAAAGCGATGGTAGAACAGACTTTGGCTAAAAGACAGCAGGAGCCTAGCAAGGAAGAGAAGCCGTCACAACCAGTGCTTGCATTTCCCAGCTCTGTTATGCCAGCAACGCAAAGTACGGAAGTCGCATTTAGAAAATTCCAAAATTAGGTACTTTTTAGGTACCGAAGCCAAAAACTAGGTGCTTTGTAAGTTACACCGTAACTCAATACTCAAAGTTGATGTGAAGCTAGCAACGTAATGAAAATAATGAATGTTAAGGGAACACTATTAGGTGCTAATTAAGTGCTAAACGGTGAGGATCGTAAACTTTTCTAATTAATAAACAAAAGCTTCCAATTTCCCTAACAACAGATCTAAGAATCAGGTCTCTCGAAAACGAGGACGAATGCTCTATCATGTATAAACTAAGCGTGGTAATAAAGTGCTAATTGGGTGCTTGCAAGAAATTAAGATGAAAACGACCGCGAATAAGCGAAAACAAAAATTCGAGATACCTGATTTGAGAAAAAAAATTAACAATATGCAATAAAGTTTTGAGATACTCGTAAACTGATACATAGACAATCAAAATAAGTGCTCACTAGATAAATAATAGTAAACCTAGATTCCATAATGCCTATGGGGCATTATGGAAAACCACTATGACTGATGGACTAAGTTGTTACAGTACGTTTCTTGATAAGTAAGGGAATGAGAATAAAGTGCTCAATGGATATTTATAGTAAATCTAGATTCCGATCGGTAGGTAGCTGACCGGAATCTAGACTTGTTCCAGAAGTTCACTCAGTCAATCGGCCGATGTGTGACTTGATGGTTCAAGCCCCAGGCTGAACGCTCAATTTTCACTTGCTATCGTCCAACCCGTGTTAGGAATCAAACGTTAAAAGATAAGACCTCGTTAGTTCTTAGCTCGCACAAGTTTCGATTTCTGAGGGTTATCGTTTGTAGGGGTGCGATAGTTGATTAACGGAACAAATATATTTCAAACATTTTTTTTAATGGTTGTTATCTGGTCCATAAACCCCAGGTGAATTATGGAATCTAGATTTACCATAAATATCTAATGAGCACCTAATTAGCACTTTATTCTCATTCCCTTACTTATCAAGAAATGTACTGTAACAACTTAGTCCAACAGTCAGTGGTTTTCCATAATGCCCCATAGGCATTTTCATCTTACCACGCTTAGTTTATACCTGATAGAGCATTTGTCCTCGTTTTCGAGAGACCTGATTCGTAGATCTGTTGTTTAGCGAAATTGGAAGCTTTTGTTTATTAATTAGAAAATTTTACGATCCTCACCATTTACCACTTAATCAGCACGTAATAGTGTTCCCTTAACATTCATTATTATTTTCATTGCGTTTGAGTATTGAGTTACAGAGCACCTAGTTTTTGACTTCGATACCTAAAAAGTACCTAATTTTGGCATTTTCTAAATGCGATTTCCGTACTTTGCGTTGCTGGCGTAACAGAGCTGGGAAGTACAAGCACTGGTTGTGACGGCTTCTCTTCTTTTCGAGGCTCCTGCTGTCTTTTAGCCAAAGTCTGTTCTATCATCGCTTTGGAGTAGCCATTCCTTTGAAGATCATCTTTGGTTCCAAGTACAACATCAGAACCTGCTTTAGATTCGGAAACACTATCCGTAGCAGCCTCACGAAAACCAGGCCACCAAACGCGGACTGCGATTCCAAGAATTGCCTTTACCGGATACCCTGTGAGTGTGGAAAATCCTTAATCGGTGAAAATAAGAGGCCATTGAATGTTCGCATTGCCAAGCACAAGAAACACACATCGAGAGGAAACCAGCAAATCAGGAATAGCAGACCATGTTTGGACCCATCAACACAACATCAAGTGGTCCCAAGTTGAGATCAAACACAGATAGGAACATTGGTTTAGGAGGAAATTCAAAGAAGCCGCATACATTGTGGTTACCAACAGTCGATTGTGGTTACCAACAGTCGAAACGTCGGAAAGTAACTTTTCTTGAAATCTTTCAATTACAATTTCTATTTCTTTTTAATCGTTCAATGGGGAATGTTCCTCAATTTGGGTTATTACAGCAAATGAAAGTTTGAACAAAATAAAGTTGAGTTAATTCATGAGTTTTTCAAATTCACTTCGAAAAGTATTCAAATTGATGTTTCAAATGTTAGGTTTCAATTTTTTAAGGGATATGTTTCAAATTCACATATTGGCAACAGCGCCTATATCAAGTTGAAATAATTTATACGCACCTAGATATTCTACTTAAAAAAAAAAGAAAATTATCTTTATGAATCAACAATTAAGGCAAAATATAAATTATAGTTCAATTCCACCTCCACAAGCCACATAAACAACAGTTGTTTTGTTATTTATTTATCTAGAGGAAGATAGGTTAGGTGCACAAAATGTCATGTCACAAAATGTCTCGGAACTCGAAACATAAGTAAACAGAACAGCACACCTCTGAAATATGTCATCTTTGTTTGTCTCATACAGGTAACAGATTCATTGTCCTTTATTAGCTATAACCGATGCTGCCAAATGGTGAAATAGAAACGAATCCCTTTAAATGTTTAATGCATTATTTTATTCCTCTTTTTTAAGTATTTAAATAAATTTTTTTAAAGAAAAAGGTTGAAATGATAAGTTTAAAATGCGTTGTTTTAGAGCTCCTTTATGAAAACTACTTGATTTATTGCTTGTATTTCATTTCATTGCAAACTCAGTTTGTTTTTGCTTACTATAATTGTTATTTTTTTAGCTAATCTTTTTTATTTTATTGATTCTATTTGTTACTTAACGATTATCACCCACCCAACCATTGTATGTACGATTTTTTTTGATAAGCGAAATTAAAACAATTCCTGGAAAAAAATGGGCCGGCCTCAAGAATCCTTCATTTAACCTGCTGTTTGAACACCGTCGTTCGTGAATGAGGAAATGTCTTCACTTATGAAATCAAGTATTTTTTAAGGACACAACACAAGCACTACAGGAAAATCCTTGAGGCGCTCTCAGAGCGATGCCTGTGCCAAAGTAGCAATTCACATTGCATTTGAATCCCTGAAGATTAAATCCATTTTTTGAAACGTTCTCCTCATGAAGTTCATCCACATAAATGCCGTTCTCCAGATGAAAGAGTTACTGATCAGTGAAGTTCGAGGTGTACTGAGTTGAACCTCAAAACGATGAGAAGCCACAGCCCGCCGCGTACTTCTGATATGTACCACGCTTGGTGGAATCAAATGTGCCAAGTCACCTGAACACCTTCCGTGAAAGTACCTGCAGAAGAGAGACAAATCTCCAACCTTTCCTCGATGTTCCAGACTATCAAGGTTGCAAGTGAGGTTCGCGTCTCCAAATCAGGCGGATGGCTCTTTTCTGGATGGAATCCAGGAGCGTCAGGGTATGTTTGGAGGCGGAGCTCCGTACATGAGAAAAATACTCCAAAGAAGGTCTGATCTGAGCTTGATGAAGCATCAAAAGTTGCTGAGGTGTATACAGTTTTCCGGTTCGGAACCGTGTTCCAAACTTTCAAGAAGCAGCCTTTGCAATTCGAGTGGGAATAATGTAATTAACTACAATGATTTCGATTCAAATTGTATCAGTAATAACAAGATTTAATCAAAATTTCCAAATGTTATAAATGTTGTTCAGATTTGATACTGAAATAAGGGTGGATTCAAATTTCTGCCCTGGACAATAGATAACTTAAAGCTGAATCTGCTAATACAACACTTTATAGAAACAGAAAACACTGTTCGTTTCATGAGATTTCGTCTTTGAGCACTGTTAACTAGGAAGCCTGTTTATAAACAACTCAACCCATTTCCTTTGGGCTACCTTTCAATAAATCCATCGTCAAACGTAGATATTATGTACATATAATCATAGGTGTCAAACGTTCATATTTCAAGAATGATTTGATAGAAATCACAAACTCGGACTCTCTCAGGATACTAGTTCAGCTCATTGTCACTGGAGAGATCCGACTCGACTTCTTCATCTGAAAAATCTTGGGCACTTGGAGAAAGTGGGTCGCAACTAGACGACTGGCGGGAATTTTCTTCATCTAAAGTTGTTTCTACGAATTCCTCCACATTGAGCATTGAAAGTGAGTTGGAACCCATGGTGGCAGCTGTGAGAATGAAGTCCAGAGAATGCGGTTTCCCAGTTGCTATTTCTGAAAACATAAAATGAAGGAACACTCCATTGATTTCAATGCGGAATAATTTATTATAAAAAATTATATAATGAAATATGGGGGTTTTAAAGTTTCCACTTTAATTAGTCGCCTTTTGGCACCAATACAGTGCGCACCATAAGTGTTACCCCCCCTATCTAAATCGTTACTGGACTATTGTTAAGAAAATCGCCGAGACACGTCAATTTTTCATTTCTACAGTGTACACTTTTGTATGAATATTTCATCTATTACTGGATGTTCCCCGTTGACCTCCTGGCAAAAATAGAGTATATTTTTAGTTTCAGTCCTGACGCTTTGCAAAGTATTGCGAGTAATTCTTCCACACACTTCCGTAATTCGCGCACGCAACTCCTGAATAGAGTGACAATGAGTCTCGTAGACTTTAGAATAGTCTTTCTCAAAGTGGGCGACAACGCCCCGTTGTGGGAGCTGGAGGCCTATAGGGGGGCATTAAAGGGCACTGAAAATATTGGGGGGCGTTGAAGCAGTTTAGCTGCGATGGCTAATTTAAAAATTTTTTTTGCTTTTAACCCAAACTTTATCGCTACTTTACGCTTCACACGCATTTCCTCGTGTAACGCCATCTAGGGGACTAGACAGTAACTATTTCCTGTTCGATAGTTGTTAAACTATCGGACAGGAAAATGCTGAAAAGTTCAATCTTTATTTCGAAACTAGTATCGAATCCATAGTTGACTCTATAAATGCTAATACAGTTTGGCAAGCGGGTGATGAGGCAGTGTCTACTTTTTCTGAATTTCAGCAGCTAAAGCTAGCAGACCTTGCTAAAATAATCAACAACTTGGAAAACAAATCTGGGGCAGAAATTGTCGATATTAAATTTATAAAATATACTTTTGGTGTTATTGGGCATGTGCTATTGCAGTTTGTAAATATTTCCCTACAATATGGACAATTTCCTAATGCATTAAAAGTCAGTACTGTTGTTCCGATACCTAAAATTCCAAACACAAATAAATCAAGTGAATATCGTACCATTAATAATCTGCTGGGAATGGAGAAATTGTTGGAAATGGCTGTATACGATCAACTAATAAAATATATTAACAAGAACAACATCCTAATAACAAACCAATCTGGATTTCAAAAGAATTTCTCCTGTGAAACCGCTCTACAACCGACAACAATTGATAGGAATATCCTTTAAAAAAAAATTAGAATTAATTGGGATTAAAGGGGTTGTGCTAAATTGGTTTAAAGATTATTTAAATGATCGACAACAAGTCACAAAGATTGAAAGTGAATTATCCATTCCAGTCACTACAAAGTTCGGGGTGCCCCAGGGAACTGTACTGGGGCCCTTGTTGTTTTTGATTTACATAAACGACATAAACACATACCACACTAGTGACTTTATCAACTTATTTGCTGACGACTCGTTACTATCTATAGCACATAAAGTCCTGAAAGTAGCTATAGAAAAGATGAACTCATCTCTAAATCAAATTGAGAATTATTTTTCGGCAAATAAAATGAAATTAAATACTTCAAAAACGAAAGCTATGATTCTAACAACCTCTTACAAATATAAACAAATAAATATAAATACTCTTTCACTTGAATTTGTGAAAGAATTCAAATATTTAGGTTTTATGATGGACAACAGTATGTCTTTTGGTGCACACTATAACTATATGACTAAAAAGATTTCAAAAAAACTATATTTCTTCACTATAATTTCGAAACACTTTTCTACAAATGCGAAAATAACCGTATATAATACAATAATACAGCCCCATTTTGATTATTGCAGTACGCTGTTATACAGTTTTGACCAAAATAAAATTATGTTTCTGCAAAAGTTACAGAACAGAGGAATGAGGGTGGTTCTTGGATGTAATCGTTATGCAAGTATATGCTTTATGCTCAATGCATTACAGTGGATGTCTATTCGTGAAAGATATTACAGGTCAGCAATGATATAACAAACTTCCCCAAAATGTGAAGAATAATAAAAACCTGTTTCAATTCAAAAAAGATTTGACTGATTATATGAAAGGTATCACAATAGAATAGATAGTAAGTGACTCGGTATATATTATGTATTTATGTGTACCTATATGTATATATGTATTATATCCTCACTATGTGTGTCTATATAACATGAAATATTATGTATATTATGTTTGTGTATTAGGATCTTCCTACCAATAAATCATTCATTCATTCAACTGTACAATAGATAGCAGTAAGCTTCAATGCGAAGCGAGAAGTTTCTAGTCTCCATTCTCGAAAGTACTAGGCCCGCCCGTTGCCTCATATAAAATTGCACGCGCCATCCAGCCAGTAATGTCATTCGACGATATTATTAGCCAGTAATGTCATTCGACGATATTACGAAAACAAGTGAATTTAGTTAGCGACTAGCTAGATAAAGTGCTGTACGTGCGGTGGTGAATACTGTGAGTGGTGTCAATAGCAAGTTTTTAATACTCGATTCTTTACTTCGGCATTTTTAAAGACAAAATTATGTCGGAAGCAAGAAAGAAAAAACGACAGTATATCGCGGAGTATATCCATCTTCGCCTGTGTGCCTTCTTTGTCAAAAAACATTTTGGATTGAAGCGATGAAACCCTCAAGGCTTCAAGATCATTTGAATAAGATTCATTCAGATAAAAAAGACTGGAAGAGAAACTGGAAACTATTTGCCAGAAATTTAGAGACAGATCCAAAAGGAGAAACCATATATATTATAGAAGAATATTGTATCAGCTGTTACGGATGGTGCTCCGGCTATGAGAGAACGTCACAAAGGTTTCATAGCGTACTTGAAAAAGAAAATTCCAGAAGTGCTCGCTGTACATTGCGTCATTCATAGGCAACATTTAGTTGCGTAAAATTTGAGTGAGCGCCTCTCTCAATCACTGCAATATATCATCAAAGTAATCAATAAAATCCAAAACAGCTCTTTAAATGAAAGATTATTTAATCAGCTTTGTGTTGCTAATGATGAAGATTTCAACCGATTGCTATTTCACACAGAAGTGCGTTGGTTATCAAAAGGTAACTGTCTGACTCAATTTTACAATCTCTTTGACACTGTAATAGAGTTCTTGGAAAACAAAGACAAAGAATTGCACGACAACCTCATCACTTCAAAGAATGATATTGCGTACTTGACAGACCTGTATAAATTATTTGATGATGTCAATCTCCAACTTCAGGTGACGACTTGAATTTGAATAAAACAAAAAATGTCATTGCTGCTTTTGTAGCCAAATTGCTCTTATACAAGAATAATATCGGCAGACGTGAGTTTCGAAATTTCCCTAATTTGTCAGCAGTATCCTTCAACAACGACGACTTGCTTGTTTACTGCCAACATTTGGAGAACCTCCACATTGATTTTGCAGAACGATTCCAGGACATTTTAAAATTGAAAATACCGGACTGGGTGTTGGATCCTTTTTCAAATGTCAACACAGCAGGATCACCCCAGCTGGAAGAAGAACTCATAGAACTGATAACGACCGAGGAAATAAAAAAAAAAATTAAAAATGGATACCAAGAATTTTGGCTACAAAAGACAATCGCGCAATTGTACCCTGGATTGTGGTCCCATCCCATCATCGTATTTGTATGAACGTGGATTTAGTGCTGTAGCAACGTTGCTAACCAAAAAGAGAAATCGGTTGCAGTATACCGAACGCGGTGACTTACGGCTGTTTTTGAGTAAAATCGAGCCTGACAATAACAAACTCGTTAAAAATCATCAAATTCATCAGAAAGTTTTATTTTCCCACGACACACGTAATTTAATTATTAAAATAAAGACTGTGATTCTTAAGATGTAGTAAAGTAAAAAAATTTGGGGGCGCTAGAAAATAATTAATTCTCGAAGTGGGCGGAAGAAAAAATGAGTTTGAGAACCTCTACTTTAGAATTTAGGTGACCTAATAGGAAGAAATGTAAAGGAGTTAGATCTGGTGATCTTGTAGGCCATTCAGATCCTGGGCGCCCGATCTATCGTCCTGCAGAAACAGTATTCAAATAAGTCCTCAAAGCACCTGCAAAATGAGGAGGAACTCCATCTTGTTGCAGAATAATTTCCACGTTAAATTCGTCTGAATTTTTTTCGACAGTTGCCACAAATCAGTGGATGTATCACTTTTTCCAGCTTTTTCAAATAGAGGGCACCAGTCAGATTTTCCTCAATGAATAACGGACCTATAATGTGGTCACCCAGTATTCCTGCCCACACATCAACTTTTTGCGGAAACTGTTGAAGATGAACTAAGTAATATCAAGAATAATCTGGAATACAGTGAACATGAAACAGAATGAAGATTCAGGTAAGTATAAGAGCCACCAAGTAAAACAAAAACACGAAAACATAATATAATTACTCATTTAGCAGGCCGCAAAGGACTTGCAAAAGCCATTGTGAAACCGTCCAATTTATTTTTTCTCTTAATTTGATGAATTTATTTATTATTCAGTTGATTGTGAAAGATACAAATTCATAGCAACTATAAAACGAAATCTTTCGAGAGAAATGGATGTGTGTGAGGTAAAAAGTTAGAATTTCGATGACTTATTTTCTGTTGATGATTGGAAAATGACTTCTTTTACACGACTATGAACAAACAGCGATTCCTTCTTATTCTGTCGTGTACCCTTTATTTTTTTCATAACTCAAAAGATGAAAAATGTACAAAACTAGTACTCACTCTCAAGGTATGGCCATAAAGATCCCGGTATTAGATTTTTCATTTTCTCAAGATTCTCGGGGGTACAATTTCCAGTCTCCAGACCTGAAAATAATGAAGCTATAAAAAATACTGTAAAAAAAATCCATAATTAACAATTTTGAAATTTTACTGAGAAGTGGATATTTTCCCTTGTATCCCCGTAAAATAATTGTGAAAACTTATCAAGATGATATGTATGTATATGTAACATATGACTGTTGAAAAAATAAGGTGAATTTTTGTTTTTCTTAAGAAATATTTATTCATCAATTTCTGTTTTGTCTCTTTCAAAGTAATAAATTACCAAACGGAAGCAGATGCTTATACAGTTATACATATACATATTTCCTAAAGGAATACGTAAGCTAAGGCACAAATCTTCATTGTGACATGGTTCCATATTTATATTTTATGTCTTGTAACGTGTAAAATACTTCTATGAAATAGAGATTGATATTATTATTATTATTGCTGGTTAGGTGGTTGCAACTCCTATAACTGAGAAATTTGTAAGGTAAGATCTATTGCATGAAAGATGCAGGAAACAACAATATTTGCCAAGTTAAATTTGTTGAATTTGAGTTATAGCTTCATTATCATGTTCAGATGTTCGAAAATTACATCTAACATTGATACAGTCGGAAATTAAAACATTCCAATTATCAGGAACCTTACAATGAATTCTAAAATGAAAAAAAATATTGAAAGAATCGGAATCAGACTTTTAGAAAACAACGAAAAACTAAAGTATCTCATATATTGATTAATCAATAAAAAATAATTGATACTCACCTGATAGCATTCCTATTGATTTCAAAATTTCTACGTCATCATTAATTTCAAACTTGTCATTAAATTGGAAAAGATATTCCATCCTGTAAGAAAAAAGTTAATTGAAAACGATGTGGGGTTCTTATGAATAATAAGTTGGAAATTCCATTAGCCTTCAATCAACCATATTATGACTAACATCATGATATATCTTTAAACTTTGGGGGAAACTGCTCGCGTTTGCATTGTCTTCTTGTTGACCTTTATAGCAGTAAAACAAACTAACCAGATATACAGTGTGACCCATTTTTAATGGAAACACCCCCCTAAAATTTGAAGTTGTAAATCTATTTTAATATTTTTTTTAATGTTAAGTACTAAAAGGTCTACCTTGGGACAAAATTTGAAATGTTTATTAAAGTTTCAGGGCATACTACGATATTTTTTCTTAGTCGAAAATCGGGATTTTTTATTAGCGATTCTTTTATTGAAAAAAATCACTACGCCACTGGATTCAGAGTGCCTCTAAATAGGTGTGACCAAAATTTCATGAAAAAATATTCATTATTAACGAAGTTATGACAACTCAAAAATTCGAAAACTCGCACAGCTAACAGTCACAATATATCATTTTTTTTATGATTTCAACAATAAAGTGCCGCCAGATGAAAAAAAAAACAAATAGCGTAAATATTTTTAATGAAAATAACCGAATTACATTCACACAATTCAACTAACAATGAAGCAAACAATTTTAATAAACGTAACTAATAACTAATTATTGAAATGTTTTGATTCAGTGTAACAATTAATTCTAACTCATATTCTAGTAGCTTCTACTAATCCACCACGTATTTCGATACATGTGTCGTAGTGCTTACGAATGTTTCTGATTACGTTCCTTACCTGTCAAATTCTTGCACAAAGTTCATTTCTATCTCTTGAGCGGTTTTTGTAAACCTTTTGTGTGAGAAGAAGTGAGAAGAAAGGAACAATAATTCGTTCGTTCAATATCCCACACCAGACGTTGATTTTTTGGGAATACTGGCTTTTACAGTTTATTACCCAATATTCTCATGGCTATATCTGTTGATATAGGGTGTTTTTTGTAACTGTTAGCTGTGTGAGTTTTTGAATTTTTCAGTCATAACTTTGTTAATAATGAATATTTTTTTCATGAAATTTTGGTCACACCTGTTTAGAGGAACTCTGAATCCAGTGGCGTAGTGACTTTGTTAATAAAAAAAATGCTGATAAAAATTCCCGATTTTCGACTAAGAAAAAAATATCGTAGTATGCCCTGAAACCTTAATAAACATTTCAAATTTTGTCCTAAGGTAGACCAAGGTACAACTTCAAATTTTAGGGGGGTGTTTCCATTAAAAATGGGTCACACTAGAAAGTATGACTGGAAGCATATTCAGCCCCATTTGTAGGGCGCCAACTAAAATATACTGGTTATTATCGATTTGATTGAATTAACAAAATAACATTTGAGAAAATGAAATTTCATAGAGCTCACATATTCATACAACATTGCATTGAAACACATCTATTCTTTTGAAAACATAAATATAGTTTAAAAAACTAAAAAATACTTTTGAAGAACGTCGAACTAAAAAATTAAAAATCCTTTTTTTAAATAAGCTTAAAATAATAACGAACGAAAATAAAGTACACAACCGTCAAAGACCTTATCTTTCTCTATTGCATTATTCCAAATATGGGTGACATACGATAGAAGGTAGCTTGTCGATCTTAGTTTGTTGCAGTTTTATGAACTTCTCACAGTGAAAATATCACAGTTACTTTATATCATGGTATATATCACGGTTATATATCACGGTTACTTTTTTATCACTTCACCTTGTATTGGCATGTCCAATACCAGAACTATAATTTTTACGAGTTCAAATTGTGACTTTTGTCATCCATCTGAAAGATCAATCTGTCAACAAAAACTCTAATAGATTCAAGAAGACGTGTTGCTTTTTTAAAAAATAGTACAGGTTATCAAGAGGCCTAATGGAAAATTTCGTTTCCCAAGTAAAATACTTACTTATCATTAGATATACTACAATTGATTATAGTCTTTTTGTTTGTGTTGACCACAATGAAAGGCAGCTGAATATACGAATTCGGCGGTGGTATTCCATGTAATCTTTCAGCTTCTTTATTCCTTTGCGCCAAATTCTTGAATGCAATTTGATTCAATATCAAGTCATCTAATTGTTTCTCCTTTTCTCTTATAGTGGTAATCTTAGCCTGCATTTCTTTTTCGAGTTGGTGGCATTCTTGTAGAGAGTTCGTTGGTAACCCAATCCATTTTATTTCTTTCTTTTCTTTCGATATTATATTCATGGCCATAAGAACATTCAAAGCGTCATACACTCTTCTTCTGATATTCTTTTGGTCGTATTGGTCAGCCAAACTATTAATACTAACGGAATTAGTAAATTCCCCTACTAACTCGTCTGCGACTTCATTGTATGTCGTAACACCTTTTTGTTTGACTTTTTCACACACCTTCATAGAAAAATGTCTCAGACCTTTACCAACTTTTTCAGATTTCCTGCCTCTTTTCCTGAAAAAAAAAAAATCATGCAAGGTGAAAGAAATTATATAGGTAGTCAAACTGTACTCCAACCATCCACAAAAATATATTCAAGAGCAATCAAATCACAAAACACTACTTGCACTATTCAAAAAATAAGCCGAATGAATACTATCTTGTGGTTGAGAAAATATCAACCTTATACCCCATTGAGTTTCATCATTATTGATAATGAAGAAAAATAGTTAGGAAACGCATGTTGTCTCAAGTCAATAATTGTGAGATTTTCACTAAACAGTTTTACAAAAACGCAACACGTGTTTCACCATACAATGGCTTCTTCAGGCCTGTCTTTACTAACTATATTCCATATATTCAATTCTTTTTTTACCTAATTTTGAATTTCAAATACTTACATTTCAAGTACCTGAGTTTGTAATGAAATAAATTACCTCAGCTTGTGTCCCAGCTTCCACCTTTGAAAAAATATTTAGTAACAGAGAGTTATTCAATTCTACTTGATCATTCAGCAAATTACCCAAATTTTTTAATGTATTGATTCTTAAACATTCTAGAAGATTGAGTTTCAAACTCTTCTCTTCGTATTCATGATTGAACTCATGTCCTTCTGGCTAAAAGGTGGTTTGCAAATGTGGAATTGGTCCTTCTATTTACAAAACTACTTCTACGCTCTATATGCTTTATATAAGCTTATACAAGGTGTAACATAAGTACGTTAAAATATTCAAGTGACGTATTCCTGAGACAATTTTCAGAAAAAAAGTCTATATGAACGTGTGTCCGAAAATGCTTCGTTTCGGAGATACGGGGTGTTGAAATTTAATTTTTTTGTTCGTTTTCTGAAAATAACTCTTGCAAAAAATAAGTTATTTGCACGAAATTCGGACCCGGGGTTTTTTGACGTGGGAAATCATAATTCGTATTAATTTTCATGTAAAATCTAGAGGGCCGTGCGTACACTGCCATTATTTATTTCAAACTGCCCTAACTTTTTTGACAGTAAACTCTTGGTTTCGAGTCGAAATTTCGACTTTAATCTCGAAATTTCGACTTTAATCTCGAAATTTCGACTTTAATCTCGTAATTTCGAAATTACGACTTCAAGTCGAAATTTCAAGACTATTGTCGAAATTTCGAAATTAAAGTCGAAATTCCGAGTTTGAAATCGTAATTTTGAAATTACGAGATTAAAGTCGAAATTTCGAGATTCAAAGTCGTAATTTCCAAGAAACAAATAATAAAAATATGTGGCCCTTATGCGCTTCCGTACAATTATACCTTTTTTGGGAAAAATTGTAGAAATTATCGTGAAAGAGCGACTAATGCTATTTCTGAATGAACACAATATTCTACATGAACATCAATTTGGATTCATCAGATATAGATCCACCACCGACGCAGTACTTTAAGTCATCAACAGGTGGTTAGAAACGTGGAAAATGGAGACCATACGATTCAAACACTGTGGGATCTGAGCAAAGCTTTTGACCGTCTAAATCATCATTTACTACTAGTGAAACTTGAATTTTATAGTATCAGAGGATCAGATTTGAAATTCTTCCAGTCTTATGTCTCATCTGGAAAGCAGGCAGTATACATAAATGGTAATTTATCAGATGAAAGGCCTATGAATAATGGAATGCCTAAGGGATCCATCTTGGGTCCATCCCTTTTTGTAATCTATATAATGATATATTCTATTACCTTTTACCCAGTACAGTACTCTGCTTTGCCAACGACAGCACAATGCTACAATTAAATTCTGATATCTCAAATTTACTTGTAAGTGCCAAAGAAATAGAAGATAAAACAGAATACTGGTTTACATCCAACAAACTGAAACTTCTACTTCGCCAGTTGAGCCATAAAACATTTCTCATTTCGTATCATTCCCTTTTTCACTGTCCCCTTTCATATGGGACACTCCTTTGGGGTAGATCTACTTACGTGATCAGAGCTTTTCACATGCAGAAAAAAGCCATCAAAATTATAGCTGGAGCTCCACTGTCAACCATTATTTAGAAAATTGGAAATAATGTATTTGCCCTGTATGTTGATTTTCTACTCACTGTTAGAAGTACATAAAAACAAAATACTACTCTAAAAAAACAATCAAGATCATCATAATTATGAAACTAGAAATGCGGGACAACTCAGACAGTCAATATTTAGACTAGAAATGTCATTACGAAATTCTCTGGGCGTTAAATTATTCAACAAACTCCCATTTAATGTGACTGAATTGAATTTTAATTTTTTCAAAAGGAAAACTAAAGGGTATGTTATACCTCATTTCATGCAAAGTACATATTCAGACTAAATAGCCCTAATTTTTGTACATCACTATTTATATATTTAGGAATCTTTTTTTTATATAATTCGGTTCTTTATTTGTTAACAATTTGGTAAATCATTTTCAAAATTTATATTTAATGCTGCTTTTATATTGTTATCTCTGTTTGCACACTAATTTGTACCAACTATCTATGACTTGTCACAAATATCCTTATGTCTTATGTCTAGTGACTAGAATCCTAAAAGATGAAACAAATCTGGTACTTACAAAGAAAATAGTAAAGTAAAGAAGAGCTTTGAAAATGATATAGCCTTCGCAATTGATTTTTAAAGACCTGAAGTGACACATTAAACAGACTTAAGTTATTATGATATCGATTTCCCAGCTTCTCTTTCGATTTGACTTGCCATTTTTCGGTTTTCATTCTATCACATCATGCAAATCACCTTAGTATTAAGAAATCTGACAAACAACGCTTCATTTATAATAATCGTATCTCAGATCAATAGTTCTGCCCACTTTCACAAGATCCTATACTTTCGTAACCGTCAAATATGAATAAGGTTAGAGACCAGAGTCCAACACAAACACTGAATTACTGAGGTAAGGAAACAATGTGTTGAATTTATTCTATAGCAGAGGTTTTAGTTCTACTCTTTACTGTTGGGAGGTTAATTTTTGAATTACATTTTTTTGTGCTTTTTTTGTCAAAACTAAGTCAATAGTTGTAGAGATTGTCTGGGAAATATTTTCTTCATAATCGTCGAGGGACCAAGGCCCAAAAGTTTTGTTGCTTTATTGTATATAAACTGACTGGACAACAAAATGCAGCTATTCTGTAAATCTCTCTCATAATCAGTTATCATTACTGTGGAATCACTTCAAAAAATATTACTCACGATTCCAGTGCATAGTCTAGTTCAATACTGTCTTGCCTTTTCCTTTTTGTGAGGATCGGTGGAGATAAATTTTTAGCGGGTTGTGTGGATTGGGATGTGAATATAGGTACTGTAGCAGTTTGTGGAGAAATTTGAAATTTCGTGGTCCCTGTCGTGGCAAATTTTATATTTTGCTGAAAAATAGTAGTTAGTAAAAAAAAGTAACAAACAAAACTAATGTTACCATTTGCGAAGGAGTCAACTTAATTGTTTTTATGGCGGGCATCTTGTTGACATGTATTGGAATAGTTTCTGAAACAAAAAACAAATGTTATAAGGTGACCCAATGCAAATATTAAGTGCAGATGGCAAGAGTACAAAAAAAATTCTTGTCACATTGAAAGTGAGATCCTCAATAAAATCGTTTTTACCCTGGTATAGTATTTCCAATACTAATTGGAACAGCACAGAAAAGGAATTCCCGCCTCGACATAGGCGTCGGTACATTATTTTTCAGTGGTTGTTGACAAAATAATTTGCAGGTAGTGGCGGGACTGTCGATCTCGTTCAACATCCAATGAAAGAAGAGACTGGCGACAGAAGAGGCGATAGATATTCGAATAATAGTTGAAGTTTTAGTTGAAGTGTTTGTTGTATTCAAAGTGAAATAAAGTTAAGCTTGATTATTGTTCAGTGTAGTCAATTATCGGTCAACCCACGGGGAAAAACCTAACGGTATTATTCCCTTTATTCAAATGGGGATTTTTTATATAATTTTCAGAGCAGGATTTGGAGGAATGCAACTTTAAAATTACCATATACTTAGATTTGATCGCATAATAAAGGTAATTTACAAGAGAATTGGAATTATCATCATCTCGAACATTACCAGAAGCTTGAGAAGCTGAAGGAAGTTATTTTGAATGGGGAATGTTCCTCCTAACGAAAATCAAGTAGTTTCCATAAAAGAGTTCTAAAACAACGCATTTTAAACTTATCATTTCAACCTTTTTCTTTAAAAAATTATTTAAATACTTAAAAAAGAGGAATGAAATAATGCAGTCAACATTTAAAGGGATTCGTTTTTATTTCACTATTTGGTAACATCAGTTATAGCTAATAAAGGACAATGAATCTGTTACCTGTACGAGACAAACAAAGATGACATATTTCACAGGCGTGCTGTTCTGTTTACTTATGTTCCGAGTCAATCTGTAACATATGACATTTTGTGCACCTAACCTATCTTCCTCTAGATAAATAAATAACAAAACAACTGTTGTTTATGTGGCTTGTGGAGGTGGTATTGAACTATAATTTATATTTTGCCTTAATTGTTGATTTATAAAGATAATTTTCCTTTTTTAAAGTAGAATATCTAGGTACGTATAAATTATTTCAAATTGATATAGGCGCTGTTGCCAATATGTAAATTAGAAACAAATCCCTTCAAAAATTAAACCCAACATTTGAAACATCAATTTGAATACTTTTCGAAGTTAATCTGAAAAACTCATGAATTGAACTCAACTTTATCCTGTTCAAACTTGCATTTGCTGTAATAAACCAAATTGAGGAACATTCCCCATTGTACAATAAATTAAAATTTTGAAAACATTAGTCTTTTTTAGATCAAATGTACCAAAAATTGCGTCAGCAGCAGCCGGCACTGTTCAATGGAAGGGGTCCTATTCTGCTCCACGACAACGTACGTCCGCACAAATCACCGTCCAAAAATTGAATTTATTGAGCGTTGAAGTTTTACCTCAGCCACTATACTACACAGACCTCTCGCCAACCAACTTCTATCTTTTCAAGCACTTTGATAAAACATTGGCCAATCAGGACCAGGCAAAAACGGCCTTCGTCTGCTTCATCGAATCCCAAGCACCCAATTTTATGCTGATGGACTTAATCGACTTGTGTTAAGTTGGCAAAAGTGCACTAATTCAAATGGCGCTTAGTTCAATTCAGATGAATAAGCATTCACCGAGATATTACAGTTTAAAATAGACTCATAAAATCTGACAAAAACTTTTGAAACAACCTAATAGTTATATTGAATGGAAAATTGTTAAAAAACTTACTTGTTACCACCCTTGGGGTTCCTATAGTCCTCAAAACTTGATTTGGTGACTTTCCTGTGGTAAATATCTATAACAAAAAAACACAATTTTCAAAAACTATAAAAAGAGGTCCGAACTATATTACTTGATAGGTCTGTTTTCCTAAATATTCTATTTGAAAACTTTGATATTTGTGATGTACTGGGGTATACAGTGTGTAAAAGCCAAATAGAATAAATTCTTTTTTTGGGAAAGAAAGTTTTTGGCTTTCTACTACCCAATGGAAGATACCAAAAAAAAAAAAGATGAGCTAAATAGCCCTAATTTTTGTACATCACTATTTAAACGAATGTTTGAAATACGAACTGAGTAGAGAAAAGTATCTTCTGTATAATTCAGTGTTCATATAGAAGTATTTGTTTCGAAAGAATTTTTTACTTTCGTATAATTCAATGTTTATATGAAAGTAGCTGTTTCAGGAGGACTTTCTTTCAGTTTGTGTCTGAAAGTTATTTCTTTGCATGATCTACACATCCATGTATAGAGTTACTCATTTTGAAATTGATTACTTCCTTCCTTTCTCTGGAAGATTCCTACTTTTTTTGTATCAAGACGGAGTAGTAGAAAGCCAAAAACTTTCTTTCCCAAAAATTAATCACTCCTAAAAATATAACCCCTTCAATTGAAATACTATATTTCGGGTACTATACATATTTAAAACAATCCAGAAACATGTCAAATGTAAATTATAATTTGACATTCTTCAACGTAAAAATGTCACCCCTATCTTCAACCCCCTTCGAATGCAGGTACAACCCCCAATTTTTTAAATGGGAAGTATAGGTTTGTGATATATCGTTTGAAAGGTATCTTCATTATCTATTTAAAAATGTTATCGCTTTCAAGTTTATTGCAACAATTAAGATATAGTAAATTAAAACCATGTGATATATGATGAAATCGGCAGATACTGATGAAAATCTATAACTAACTTATTCTAAAAACACTTTATTGTGTGATTTTCACTAGACAGGTTCACAAAAACGCTTTTTTTTTAATTATGTCATTAACTTTCTCACGAGCATCTGTGTCCAAAGTTTGGAATACTATATAATGCAATCTAAATAATAATTCAGAATGTATTACTTTCAAATAAACATTGAATATATCTCTCTTACAATATAGGAATTTTCTTTCTACCTTCATCCATTTGTTTTTTTCCATAATTGATTCCTTCTTGGGCTGCTCTATTTCTATTGTTGGTCTTCAGGGCGGTAAATTTGGAGTACACTCTATTTTTTATACATTGATTGAAAAACCACATGTTTTGTGTCGTTAAAGCACATCGTAGAATTAGTTTAAAAAACCAAATAGCCAAAAAGCCCAGGGGCTTTCTTAAGATATATGATGGAATCGGCCGATACTTGATAAAAATCCATAACTGACGTATTCTAAAAACACTTTATTGTGTGATTTTCACTTTATTGTGTGAAAATCACACAATAAAGTGTTTTTAGAATACGTAAAATCATGTGGTTACCGAAATTCGATAAAATACATTCTACAACTAAAATGTAATGCAAAACTTGATAAAATGTAGAATACGAAAAAGAACGATGGATGTTAACGAAGTAGATGTTCAAAATATCCACCACGAAGGTCTTTGCAACTTCCTAATCTCAAATAAAACTGTCTTCTTACATTATTTAACATATCAGGGGTGACCGACCTAATCGCAAGCGTTATTCTTTCTTTCAAGTCATTCAAATCTGAAGGTTTAGTTTTGTACACATTGCTCTTTACATATCCCCATAAAAATCTAATGATGAAAGATCAGGTGATCGAGCTGGCCATTCAATCAATCCTCGCCTCCCTATCCACCGATTGGAAAATGTTGTATCGAGGTAATGCCGGACATTAACTTGGTAATAAGCTGGTGCTCAATCCTGATGAAACCATATCGTATTTATGGAACCTGAGGGTTTCCTGGATCAGGATATAAATTTGCTAAACTTGGAACGACATAATTTTCAAGTAGTGCCAAATAATTATTGCCATTCAAGTTGCCCTCAATGAAAAAGGGACCAATGATATGGTGGGTGCCTGTCTACTCAATGTATGTGGGTTTTCCCCAAACTTAAGCATCACATATAATTTGAGTTCATCACTCATTGCATTGGCAGCTGCTTTTTTATCTGCCCCACATGACCGAGCTTGTGAAACTGCTTCTCTATTTTGCTTATTGTTCTTTGAGATATGGGCGGTAAATTAGGCAATTTCTCATGAAATAGGCGAGCTACTTCCTGTTGTGTTCGGGTTTTATCTACGTAACCAATCATTTGTAAAACTGTTATTTTATGCATTTCCGTTGAACTAACCATTTGTCAGACTTGAAGTTAACGAACTTTAAACTTAAATTATTATACTGACAACTAATGTTGTAAGATACAAAACAAATTGACAAGGCGTTTCAAACTAATGTTGCCAAATTATTTACAGTTTTTTAAAGGATACCATCTAAAAATAACATTGCTATAGTTTTTGCTAACTTTCTTATTATCAATACCTCAACATGAAATAAGTTTTGAATATATTGCAATAAGTTTTGAGTGTATTTTATCGAATTTTGGTAACCACATGATTTTAATTTATTTTATCTTAATTGTTGCAATAAACTTGAAAGCCATAACATTTTTGAATAGAGAATGAGGAGACCTTTCTAGCGATATATCACAAGCCTAAACTGCCTATTTAAATAATTGGGGGTGGTACCTGTCATTCGACGGGGTTAAAGGTAGGGGTAGCATATTTCCGTTGAAGTATGTCAAATTATAATTTAAATTTGACGTGTTTCGGGTTAAAATATGTACTGTAACCGAAATAATGAATTTATTCCATTTGGCTTTTACACACTGTATAATGGTGTCTCTTACTCCAACAGGTTTGAATGAAAGAATTATTATTGACCATTTTTTGATAGACCAACAAAAGTTTTGGGCTTCAATGTTCTGTTGGATGTGTCTTGGATGTGCAAAAATATAATCAAGGATCAACAGCATGGCTTCATACGATTTGGTGTTGAGAAAAAACTCCAGTAGTATTCATTACTTCACCAAAGGTTCCAAACAGTGCATCATATGAATCATATCTGTTGATGCGGTCTCAATGGAGTAGTTGGGTCAGAAACCTTGCTGACAAGTGGTTAATATTTTTCTATGCTCAAGGTAATTTATCAATTGATTATACACAGCTGTTTCTATAACTTCTGAAAAGCAGTTGAGTATACATATCATTCTATAGTTTTCTATACAATGTGTGTCTCCTTTTTTAAACACTGAGTAATCACAAGAGTAGCCAATTCACTTGTGATTTCTTCGACACAGTCTTTCAGTAGTAAAGCTGGAATCTCATTTCTTTTTTAGACCCAGGATAATGTGCTTGATATCACAATCGCTAATAGGTTTGATAAATATGCTCTGTGGAGAGCTCATCTCATTTTTGGTACAATTATTTTGAGGCAAGTTGAGGGAGTTTATTTTTCTTTCCACTGAGGTTGAAAAATAATCTCTCCAAACAGATTTGCAACTTCCTGTTTGTCGGACATTTTTTCCTGTTATAAGTTAGGTTATCCTTTTCATTCTAGCTGGTACCTTTTTTCATTTTTACCAGATTCCACAAGGTCTTTGATTTGTTATGAGAATTGTTCATTAGGTTATAGTGATATATTTTCTTTTCAGAAGATATTTTTATGTTGAGTTCCCTTTTCATTCGGTTAAACTTTTCATTCAAACAGCAGTCACTGGCTCTTTTCCTTAGCTAGTAGCCTTAATAGTAGCTATTTCTAAATTGGGTTATCCCATGTAATGAATAAATAAATGAATACATTAAATTGAATTACATAAAGTTTTATTAAAAACCAACACGTGTTTCGCTATACAATAACTTCTTCAGGCGTTCACACTGATACATATACTCGCAATAAGTAATTAAACTTATTTCACAACAAAAGTAGTAACTGTCATTCACAAACATTGTTGGCATATCCCTACCTCTCTATATCTTTATGGCTACTTTGAGATGCCATTTTATTGCCAAGTTAGCATTTCACCTTTTATAAAAAAGAATTTATTCTGCTTCACCAAATCTATTAGGGCATGGTCGTCTATTCCCATAAAGTTTTCAAATAATTTGGTTGGATCAAATGTTTATCTTTCATTTCCAAACTGCTCCAATATCATTAGCGATAGTTAAAAGTTAGCGAACTTGATAAGTTGAGCAACTAAATATGTTGCATGAATGTTCCCATTAGTTATCGGTTCAACTTCTTAACTTGATACGAGATAACTTAGTTATACTTAAGTAAAGTTGTCTTGCATGAATCGACCCCAACTTTAATGATTATATAAAAGCATATAGCCATACAGAGGGTTATAAAGATTATGTATATTTTATTACATTCAAAAACAATCCTTGATATATGGTGAAAATAGCGCTGTGCCCCTTTATGACAGAGAGGCTTCAATTGATGTCAAATGATTCCTTAAAAATCCATTTGTCGTCAATTATAGTATCCATGCACATTTTTTCAAACTTCAAATATTCACCAATACAAGATTGGCACCATAATTATCAAAAAAACTCACCTGTGGTGATTCACCTTCATTTGTTGATGAAGAGGATTTGAAAATTTTGACTGGTTGTCCAGTCATTGCTGAAGTCATTATTCCACCCAATGTTTTGCCGGTAGGTTGAACCAACTTGATCATTTGTGGCTGGCCTTAAAATAAAAACTCATTTATTACCAAAACAACATAAAATTTGAAAAATATTTCCAATATTCCCTAGGAAGTGAAATAAAGTTTACCGTTGGATCCTTGTATCAGCCAGTTTGTTGTATTCACCTGATGAGACATTTTATCTATCGTAAAGTGTATTACAAAAATAATAAATACTCAAATATCTGGCCAAATCATTCCTAATAAGTATCGAAGCTCAAAATGGCGACTTCTGTAATACCATAACATTAAAGTTAAATACTTGGATATCTTCAAAGTTAAAGTTTATTTCAATAGCTCCCTAACTACACTGATTATTCTACTACCATAATTTCCAAACCATTACAAAATTAACGCAATTTTAATTTATACACTGCACGACAAAACCAGCCAAGTTCGTGCAGATATATGAAGAAATAAACTTGGCGGCGGGTAGGAAATATTTGATCTCATTGGTCATTGAATAAAATGTTTCACGTGGAAAACGCTCACAAAATTCATGATTGGCGCCACTTGTCAATGAGTAGGAAAGATGATGTTTATGGTAAATCACATTGAAATAAAATATATACTATTTGACAAAAATCATATCGGAAATCGAAAAATTCTGTCATTACCGATAAGAATATTATATAGTGTTTCAATAATATTGAAAATCTTTATCTATTATAACTAAATCATCTTATTAATAATAAATTGTCTTTATTTATGTCTACGTTTTCATATGCGAATCTTCCAAGAGTACAATTTTCTCTGAAATCCTTTTGCTGTAGTGACAGCTATCCGAGTTGCGAATGAGGAGTAATTAGAGAAAAGTTGATTCCGGAGAATTCGGTAGCCATTTTCGAGAAAGTAATATACTGAGGTCTCAATCTGCCTACTCTCCAGGTAGTGACACCCATATATAGCTTCGCCGCTGCTCCAAAATGAGAAGAGTATGACCCTTGTTATCTTCATACTAATTCGACCTGGAAGCTAAGAAGATATGGAAATAGAAAGAAACAACACGGCTTTTGTATCAATGGAACACTGAATACATGAGAATCGCAGTAATGTGGAAAACAAGACTTCTGTACTCCCAATAAGACAAAATTACTTTAAAGTATATTACGCAACTGGAAGATAGATGGTTACTATGTCGCCATCTTTTGGGATATGAGAACATTAAACAAAAAATTATAATATAAAGAAGAAGAATAAATAAAAACTCTAACCTATGACCATAACAGGCTAGAATAACAATAACAAATAGGCACGTTGACATTTCTTGTATGTTGTATGTGATTTATAGGAGATAGAAAAGATACAAAAGGATAATAACTTCATATATTCCCAGGTGGAATTCTTAAGTTTTGTGTTTTTTTTTGTTATACTCAGGCCCTTTTCAGTTGTATGTTATTGTTCGGAATACGCTTTTAACTATTACAGAATTATTTAGTAAGTATATTTTTTAACATCATTTTTAAGTAAATTTTGATATTCAAGTTCTGAGGATGATTGAAACGTGTCAAGGTATGTGCATATTCAGTTGAATAAGAACAATTCCAAAGCTTTGGAGTTGGAGGTTGAACTTCTACCTAATTTACATGACAACTGAGATTTCTTTCGAATTTAGATAATGATATAGATACTAATTTTTTTATTTGCAGGGAACATGACTCAGGAGAATAGTGCGTCAGAACCCTCTACTAGCCCAGTGAAGTTGAAAACACCAAAAAAGGGCATTATCTATTTATCATCGATACCTCCTTATATGAATGTATCTTTGATCAAAGAAGTATTTAGTAAATTTGGTACAGTAGGAAGAATATATTTGCAGTTGGCAGATAAGGGTAATTTTTATTTTATCATCTCACATATTGATGACTGATCTACCAAACGACTATAAATGAAATAGTAAATGTTTAAAAAAAAAAATTAATACACATCAGTATATCTAGTCGGGTTTGAGGGCTGTCTTTTTTCCTGACGTTTCGCTAGCAATCATAGATAGTTTTCTCAGAGATGCTTCCATATCCATAGACGATTATTATTTTTTTTACCGTAGTATTCGCTGGTCAGGTCCCATCCCTTGAAGCCCCGATACATTCGGGAGGGCGCGTCAGCATTATCAACTACCGACCACTCACCACGTCGTGGGGAGTGGTCACGGACCATGGAACGGCTAGCATATTTTCTGCAGCAACTTAGTTCTTCCCGACAGTTCCGATTACCAGATCTACCGAAGTTTGTGCTGATACTTGCCGCAGAGAGAGTTCTTATCTTTTATTACCTCTTGCGAGTGGCGTCGTCCACCCCGAAGTAAGTATACGTCGTTCCGGCATCCAATTGGTGTAGGATGCTTCCATCTACGAGCTGCACATCCCTTCCGTAGTCTCCGCATCGTCCTCTTTTGAGATGGACCATTGAACATTTCTCTATCCCGAATTTCATACCGATAGCATGCGTTTACTCTTCCACCACGCTCAAGGATTGACAGAGATCCTTCTCACCAGAGGCATAAAGTTCAAGATCGTCTATATAAAACAAATGGGTGACCTTGTGCCTCCGGTTTCCAGGGGTGCCACAATACACCCCTTCTGAAAGTGACCCACCCTGTTTGGACTCTTGCTTGACCAGATGTTATGGTGAAGCGAGTTCACCAAAGTGGTATCAGTTGTTCAATGCAGCTCACTATTTTGTCACTATTAGTATTATTATTATTATTTATCATTGTTAACGGCCTCTATTATAATTGTCTACTCATTCCAGATATGAAGGATACAAAGAAAGAAAAAAGTAAGAGAAAAAAAGTCAGTAAATTCACAGAAGGTTGGGTGGAATTCGAAAGGAAATCTGTTGCAAAAAAAGTGGTTGCTCTTCTCAATAACACTCAAGTGAGCAACAGAAAAAAATCTAAGCAGTATGATCATATTTGGAGCATGAAATATCTCTCCCGTTTCAAATGGACACATCTTCATGAAAGGTAAGTGCTAAGTTTAAGCTTAGGATGCTTGTTCTGATCCTTTTTTTCAATTGGTGTGTGCACGAGTTGAAAATTGAAATCTGTTTGAATGGGAATCACAATATTTCTTCGTGAATGTTACAGATTGTGAAATTTATTCAGGAAAAACTTAAATTGATAGCATTTGTGTTTCTAATCATAAAGAAAATGTGGCTAAATAGTGAATCACATTCAAAATAACATACAAATTACAGCTAAAATCAATCAAACACAACCAACATACAGAACTTCATAAACAAATTATAGTCAAATTATGTAAATGGTTTATCTTCCTCTTGAAGATGATCACTTGGTGATCGAAACACGTGTTAAAATAACGGTTTGGTGTTGGAAAAAAACTCCAGTAATAATATGTAAATGAAGATAAACAAATTATGTTGAGTAACAACCCATTTCAGCATTAAAAATATCATAGATTGAGCAATAACTTTCCTATATATTGAATTTATGTTTTCAAATTATTATACGATAACCTTTTCAGATATAAAGGGAGCTTATTTTATGAAACCAAGATGCTTAATAATAGCTTTCATAATATCAGATTTTCCTTAATGACATAAATTCAGGAGCTTTGAGACCTGCATTTCATATTTGTTGTCTATCAAGAATTCTTATTAAGCATCGAAAAATATATAAAGTGGGTAGTGTCATGATTTAGTTCATCTTGAAGTAGCCCTTGACCTCTGCTCGAGAAATAAGGCCATTTAGTATTCTTTGAAGGCCAAAAAGTTTGGAACAGTGCGGTCAGAGGTAGTAACTAACTCTTAATTTATCTTCACTATTTGAATTCTTTGTTTAACCGCTCGATTCGCTTTTTGAATTCAGACTTCCTCTCTGGACGAGAAGCCGGCCTTTTATATCGGTAACGATCGCTCTAGATTTCTCTAGTGGTTTCGTTACTCAACTAGACTTTTCGTGGTGAGTCATGTGTTTATTCGCTGGCTGAGATATCGGTCAGGGCCGGCTTCATATTCGTTACAATATGTTTATCCCATGGTAATTTTCAATCTGAAAATAAACCAGAAAATTCTACAGCCTGCTGATTATCAATTAGCTGACAATGAGAAAATATGCATTATCTCATTTGCATCAACACATAATTGATTCCCAGTAAACCACTGTGATGCCCTCAAATGCGTTTCGTGCATATTAAGCTAAAATGTTTAAATTCTTATTCCTATAAGCAAAGGTTGTATCGTCAGTGCACAACACATAACTTCTAGAAGGAAGATTGGCTGGTAATTCATTAAAATATATAATGAAAAGGGGAGGCCCTATTAGCGAGTCCCGTGGCACCCCCACAATTACAATACATGCTTCAGAAAATGTATTGTTATTAGACTGTATGAATTCTGTTATTCAGGTAGGGTTCAATAAAAGTTAGACTTGAAGGATTAAAATGGTAGTGTTCTTGCTTGGTATGTAGAATGTCGTTAGAAATAATCAAATGCTTCGCTGAGGTCGCAGAAAGTAATTCCTGGAGAGTCGCGGGAGTCATGAGAACGACCCCAACTGCAGCACTTGAGGTCCTACTCGGACTCCCACCATTGCACATCTACATACAAAGAGAAGCTCGGCTGGTGACACACAGGCTAATGCAGGGGCAAACCCCAATCTGCCAGTCACACGGTGCAGAATACTTGAAACTGTACAGAAACTGAAGGCAGATCCAATAATGCCCGTGGATAACACAGTTCCGCAGTACAACTTTCAAAAATATTTCAAAATCATCATACCAAAGAGAGAGGACTGGCAAAACGGCCCACCGGCAAAAGCGGAAGAATCTTGGTATACAGATGGCTCAAAAGACCCAAGAAGGAGTGGGAGCCGGTATATACGGAGGCAGAGCATAGACGAGAATCGCACTCAGCCTCGGACATAAAGCAACTGTGTTCCAGGCAGAAGTAGCGGCAATCGAACACTGTATAGGGGAAATAAACAGGCAGAAGGTCACAAACAAAACCATTGCCATTTTCTCCGACAGCCAGGCGGCAGTTAAGGCGCTCAGCCTAAGTACGCAAAATTGGGTCACTCTAGCTTGGGTACCCGAAAATGAGAGACACAAGGGCAATGAGGAGGCCGTGAAGGCGCTTTCAAGGCTATGATCGGCCCAGAACCCTTCTGCGGGGTAGCGAAAGCATGTATAAAGACATCCATATCGCCGAATCGATAGATTGGCGAAGAAGCAGCCTTTAAGTTATTCGGAGTGCAGTATATGATTATTCGGAGTCGATTTTCAAAGAATGTTGAACGAAGCTGTATTATCTCAATAACAGTCAGTGTACAGCTACCGGACTGAGTCATGACCGGTGGGAAAAATCGTATTTACGTGAAGTTTGGGTTGGTGTATGACATCTTAAGGGAGGGGCTTCTCACCGGCCATGACTCAGTCCGGCAGCTGTATGTGTATGAATTGGTCGTGAACGTCCGCCGCTATACTACTCTCTGGTCAGCTAAGAACTGCGCAAGTGTTTCAGAAACGATGTAATTATTCTAGTTTTCACAATATTTTGATAATCCTTGCGGAGGGACCTGATAGATTTTGGTAAAATTCAGCTGTAGCCTGAGTGAGACATGTAGAATTTTTTAGAACTCATTTGCTGTGTCTAAGTCTGTGATATTTGAATTTGTTTTTAGAATATTTCTATTGGGTATCTGTATTTTCGTAATACATTTTTTAGGTTAGCATATGAAAAGGCAGCAAGGCGACAAAAATTGAGAGCTGAAATACAACTTGCCAAGAAGAAGAGTACATTCTTTGCTCAGAATTTGAAGAAAAAGGCTACTAACAGCAAAGCATTTGAACATGCCAACACTGTTGAAGAAGAGAAGAAAGAAACTGATATCGTGGATGATAGAAAACAATTTTTGCAAGATTTGTTTTTATAAGTATGAGTTGTATTTTATTGAGGTATATTTTGTAAATAAAAATGTTTGAATATTTAAATTTTGTTTGAGTTGTGCGGTTCCAAATATTTTCGCTATAAATTTGTACTATTTCCCACAGTGTTGAACATATTTATTTCTTCAGTGTCAGTGGCAACCACTGCTGTGGTCATTGCCTTTCCATTCTGGGTATTTTGATAACTCCCGGGCCACCTGATTTGGAGCAGGCGCAGAAAACTTTTCTGGAATAATGACTTTTCCATCACAATCACAGAGTTAGGTGGAATGAAGTCTAATATTTGCTCAAAATATTTCTTGCCAAATTTTTTACAACGGTGTATCTTTCGATAAGCCAAGTTTCTTCCAGATGATGAATCTTTCTATCCTCTCGTCGAAACTCTTTTATCTGTCTTAGATACAGTCTGTCTCCTCCAACAAATGAATCTCATTTTCGATTAACAGCGATTTTTTTTTCGTTTTTTCCAGCTTGAATTAAATCCCTTCAAGGTTTTCCACCATTTCTGCCTATCATTGAAGACATACCTTCCAAAGCTCTCATTATTTTGTCGAAAGTCTATCTTAGAATGTACCTACTGTTCTTCTAATTACAAGTTTGTAGTTTTCATCAACAGCCACAGTTTTTTTCCTATATATGGTTTTGGTGATTCCTCAGTTTAATTTTTTCTCTAATTCTTGAATTTGTATTTCGAAGATTTTGAAACTTCCATGCGAAAACATTTCCACCAAAGTCCGAAGAAGTTTCGCGTATGAGAGCGTCATAGACATTAAGGTCAATCATCTTTTCGTTAACAGAAAAAGCACATCTTTTCACATATAGTCAGTGGGCATACTTGAAGACTGGCTATAATTCAAATCAGCTAAAGCAGGGGTCTCCAAACTACGGCCCGCGGGACAAATCCGGCCCGCCAGTGTCATCAATCCGGCCCGCGACAGCCAATGATTACCTAATTGTTGTTACTATTGCTGTGATGAATTGAAGAAGAAAACAGAATGATAGTTACTCGGTTTTATTTACTTGCAAGGTTAAACTTAACGATAGAAATGATGACAAAGAAAACTTAAGTATCTAAGTTTAAGCATAATAATAACTACCAAATAATTGAAATGAATCACAGTAAAACAAAAACACTAATGAGATTTATGTAATTGTGATTTTCCACCGACAATACTTTGTAGTTGTGGATCAATTTTACTTGTACCAATTATCAAAAGAGATTTAAGATGCTCATCGGTTAATTGAGATCTGTAAACATTCTTTGTGTACTTCATCTTGGAAAACGTTTTCTCACACAAGTAAGTAGTACCAAAAACAGAAAACAACCCACAAGCAAATTTATGCAAATTATCAAATTGTTCCAGTGGTAGACTCTTATAAAATTCCAACAAAGATGAATTTTGATATTTGTTCTTCCGGAGCCAGGGTTTCAATGTCAGAATCAAAAGGATTTTGAAAAAGGTTAATTTCATTCGCAATGACATCAAAATCTGAAAAACGAGTATCAAAATTTATCTTCAAAACACTCAAAGTATCGATTGCAAAATTGACGGGAAATTCAGTCTCTGTAGTGTGGCTGAATATTTCACATGTTTCAAAATGTGTGAAACATTTTTTACGTAATTGCGATTGAAATAGTATTATTTTTTGCCTGAAGGATTTGATATTGATGTATAAATCAGGGAGAAGCTGATTTTCTCCTTGCAATTTCAAATTCAGTTCGTTCATATCATTTGTCAAAACGACATAGAAGGCTAACTTCCACATCCATTCACTATTTTTTAAATTGGCAAAAGGGCTTCTCATTTAAAAAAAATTCGATCTCTGCTCGAAGTTTAAAAAAGCAGCTGGCTTAGTTGCCGCTGGCAACTAAGCCAGCGTACGGCAGTATGATATACTAAATAATTTTCTCCAATCTGTCGGTGATTCACCCCAGTGGATCTGATGAAGTTAACTACTGATATGACTGGTTTTAGAACTTCAGACATATCCAAACATTTTTCGCACAAGGACTGTTGATGAATGATACAATATAAGACTAATAGTTTTGAACCACCATCATTTTCTACAGCCTTTGACACAAGTGCAACCACTCCTTTATTTTCACCATACATATTTTTGCCTCCATCAGTTGTTATAGATTTCAAATTTCTCCATCGAAGGATTTTTTTATTAATGGCATTTTCAACTCCCTTAAAAATATCTGCCCCAGTTGTCGTGCCGTGAATACTATCAATATCAAGAAGTTCTTCATACACTTCATAGCTTTTATCTACTCCGCGAATAAAAATCAACACCTGAGCAGTATCTGACACATCCGTTGACTCATCCAATGCTAGAGAAAACCACTCATGATGTCCATTTTTGTCAGACAGTTGAGATGATATATTTTTTGCAATGTCTTGCCCCCTCCGAGCCACGGTGTTTGCTGACAAACTGACACTTTTAAATAAATTTACCTTTTCGGGGCATATTTCTTCGGCTACTGCAATCAAGCATTCTTTTATCATTTCTCCATCGGAGAATGGTTTGCCACGTTTTCCGATTTCAAGAGCCACACGAAAGCTGGCGCGAGTTGCAGACTCTTGTTCAGTATTCGCTTTGGTAAACAAAGATTACTGCGATTTGAGTCCGCGTTTCAAAGCTTCAAATTTTTCCTACCGCAAACTTCCTGTATACTTGGAGTAACTTTGAAGATGTTTCGATTCAAAGTGTCGTTTAATGTTATAGTCTTTGAGAACAGCTATGGTTTCATTACAAATTGAACATAGCGCCTTATTACTGGACTCAATCACAAAATACTGAAAGTTCCATTTTTTTTGAAACGTTCTGCATGCACTGTCGATTTTTCGCTTCTTTTGCATACTAACAAATCACACATAAAAACAATAAGTCAAATCAAAATATTTTTATTGATGGGTGTTACTTTATTTCACAATAGACAGTTTCGATTCCTTCGCCTTTCCTACGCAGACTAACTCGCAGTTGCGCCGCTGACCTTTTTATATGCAATTATTACTGCCATCTCGAGCAGGTGATCGGAATACACTAGCTAGAACCAGAACTTTCTCGAATCAACGCGGTAATTCCAAATATTTAATTACGCCCAATGCCACCTAGCGGGTAGCTAAAAAAGATAGTACATAGTACCACTACTCGCCACTAGATGTCATTAAGTGTTACAATACACAATAATAATTGAAATGCAAAAAAAGCATAAGTTTGCTTAGGTCACGCACTTTGCGTCTATCCTAGTCTAGAAATATAGCAATATAGAAATATAGTCTAGAAATATAGAAGAAATTGGCCCTTGGAACAAACTGAAAAAATCATTATGGCCCGAAGGCTTCACAGTTTGGAGACCCCTGATCTAAAGGAACAATTCGTTCAGGCTAATCTCAATTCCCTACACCGTATGATAATGGACTGACACTTATCAGAAAACAGCTAGTCTTTTAGTATGCCCACTGACTATATGTGAAAAGTTTTCTATCTTTTGAGGTGCAGTGATATTCAGTACTCATTAGCCGATTGCTCCTGGACTAATGAGAAAGTGGTGCGAAACAAACAAACGTCTTGTTTTCGGTGACGCGCGGTCGGAACTGAACGGTGCCTCGGAACAATCACGCCACCCTTTATGCGTGTGTGAGTGCGCGTGAACAAAGTATTTTGTAAGATAGTTTGGTCACAGTAAAGTGGTTTTTAGTTTTCTTACTGTGGTTTGGTGACCGGTATTAACACCTTACCGGGAATATCCGCTTTTACCCTTCTTCTCGCCCTCCTCTACTCACTAGTAATATTTTACACACAAACCATTTACTCCAGAGTAAGTGGTTTGTGTGTACCTAACTAGCATACATATCCGGTCATGACACTACTGTGTTTATGAATTCCACGAGCCAACCCTGTACTACTTTGTTTATCCTGCATACATTAGAAGATTGCTGATATTTCTTTAATGAAATGAATGAAAACACTTTTGCCTAATTACCACTAGTTGATTTTATTTACACGACGGGTTTCGGGTTTGACCCCATTAGCAAGTATAAAACTTGTATTTTTTTCTATACGAATATTTTTTACAACTTTCTTTCTCTCCGAGAAAGGTTGAATATTTTTCTGAGACACCGTTTTTGCAATATGAATATTTTTTGTGTACTGTCTTCGACAGTGTCATAGCTTTTCTATAAAGCATTTGTAATGTTGTAATCAAAAGCTCATTTTGTGGCCAGCTTTTTAGTTGAATAAAACGCATATTAAGGCGCGTATTCACCAAAAAAGCGAGCATGAGCGAACATTCGTGTATGTTTGCTCGTGCTCGCTTTTTTGATGAATACACACCTACACTAAACGAACGCGAACAAGTAATTTCTTTGATGTACCGCCTTCTTCTCGATCTTTTCTGAACGCGAACAAGCATAGGTACGTTCGCTCGCTCGCTATCCCGAACTCACAAACGATTATTGATGCAGAATGCTCGTTCACTCTAGTTCGCTCGTGCTCGCTTTTTTGGTGAATACGCACCTTTAAGGTACGAATAACTTTTATCTGTGTTGAGTTCAAGTAGTCAGAGTCATCCAACTTAATTTGGCGACGGTAGGGGAGACTGGGGCAAGATAAGATAGCTAAGACAAAACTCGTTATACAAGGAAAATTAAACTCTTTAATAACATTCTTTAACAAAAGAGGTAAGCATTATACATTTCTCTCTTATAATTAAACGTTGTAGCCTGCAAAATCACAGAACTTTTTTTGGCAAATAAAGAAAAAATAAACTCGGCAAATTTCCCGTTTTGCCCCATAACTGAGGTAAGATGGGAAACGCTGTGGGGCAAAACGAGTACGCTTTTTAATCGGGTAGACAGCGTTCACAAATGTGTGCCTCTTCATCTTCCTCATCTACTCTGGCACATGAATTATGCGCCCAACCGTGGCACATGCTGCAGATGACCCAACCTTCGGTTGAATCTGAGTATAAGTACCCACATTAGATGCAAGCACAGTCATCATCCCCTTCTTGGGATGAACTAACTTCCGATTCAGTT